GGGATTTTATCATTCTTGAAGTCTTCCAGAGACCATTTAGAAACCCCTGGGTGGCTCAGTCGGTTGAGTGTCTGACTCGGTTTCTGCTCAGGTCATGATCTCAGGGTTGGGGTATGGAGCCCCACATTGGGCTCTGAGCTCAGAAGGGAATCTGCTTGAGATTTTCTCTCTCCCCCTCTGCCCCTCCTCCCAATGTCTCTCTCAAGTAAATAAATAAATAAATCTTTAAAAAACAAAAACAAAAACGGCAGGCAGGGTGGCTCAGCGGTTTAGCACCGCCTTCTGCCCAGGACCTGATCCTGGAGAGCTGGGATCGAGTCCCACGTCGGGCTCCCTGCATGGAGCCTGCTTCTCCCTCTGCCTGTGTCTCTGCCTCTCTCTCTCTCTCTCTCTCTCTCATGAATAAATAAATAAAATCTTGGAAAAGAAACAACAACAAAAAGGCAAAACAAAAGAAACCCCTCATCTAGACTATTAACTCCCTGGGGGTGGGAACTCCAGAGATTTTTGTCATTAAATCATTTGCATCAGGCATGGGCCCCTAGAACATATTATGAACCCAGACAATTCTAAAGATTCTAAAAGATTCTAAAAGAAAAATATTTTTTCTTTTCTTTTAAGATACTTTATTTAAAAAAAAAGATTATTTATTTGAGAGCAATAGAGAGAGAGCACAAGCAGAGGGAGAAGCAGAACCTCCCACTGAGCAGGGAGCCTGATGCAGGGCTCGATCCCAGGATCCTCCCAACTGACTGAGCCACCCAGGCACCCTGAGAAATAATTTTCTAAAAGAGATTATCCATTTTTCTTTGGCTGTCATCAAGAATAGAACAGATTGTTATATACCCAGAATTAGTTGGGGGTACAGGCCTGTAGGAAGGAAAAGCTGAGCGGAGACATCGTGGTGAGATCAGCCTTGTTCTTGAAATCTAATTTAAAGATATTTGAAAATATCACACTTACCGTGTGAGAAACAAGGCCCACTCCAAAATATTATTAAACCATATTTTAACTATGGTCATGACAACCCTTTGTTTCATTTATTAAGTGCCTACTTTGTGTAAAAACACAATCTTCCCAACATGTTTTTTCCTTTTTTTTTTGTTTATTAAGGTATAATTTACATCTATAATCAACTTCACCAATTTTAAGTGTACAGTTTGATGAATTGTGGCATTTGCATACAATGTGTAATCACCTCCATGGTCAAGATACAGAGTGGTTCTTTCATCCTGCAAAGGCTCCTCTCCCCCTGGTGCCTCTATCCTCTGCCCCCACCTCCCCCCTACATCCCCATCAGGCAACTGCTGATCTGCTTAGAGTCTAACACTTAATTTGAAATTTTTTTAAATTTATTTTGAGAGAGCGAGCTTGCTCAAACACATGCATTGGTAAAGGGGCTGGGGGAAGGGCAGGGAGAGAGGGAGAGAATCCCAAGCAAAGTCCCCGCTCAGCATGGAGCCCAATGCAGTCTCATCTCAAGACCCTGAAATCATGACCTGAGGTGAAATCAAGAGCCAGATGCATGATTGACTGAGCCACCCAGGTGCCTCGAGTGAGGAATTTTTAAATAATGCTGTGGCCATGGGCAGCCCTGGTGGCTCAGTGGTTTAGCGCCGCCTTCAGTTCAGGGCCTGACCCTGGAGACCCCAGATCGAGTCCCATGTCGGGCTCCCTGCATGGAGCCTGCTTCTCCCTCTGCCTGTGTCTCTGCCTCTCTTTCTCTCTCTGTGCCTCTCATTAATAAATAGATGAAATCTTTAAAAAATAATTATAATAATGCTGTGGCCAACGGGTGTAAACACAAGGGAGAAATAAGAATGGAGAAGAAATTGATAACCTAGCTAGCTGGGCTGCAGTCCTGAGACTAGACACAGCTTCCCTTGACGGTGAATTAGCCCGACTGGAGCCTCGGGGTTGGAGGCCACGAGAGATCATGCCATGCCTTCCCGAGACTGAGTGTCCCAAGAATTTTTTGCAAATAGCATGGTAAAGACATTTTTACAATTATAGAAAAAGAACAGAAGGTTGACATATACCGCTTGAATATCAGTCTGACAACTGGGTTTCTGAACACGGATCTAGATTCATTTTCATCTGGTGTTTTAAAGAACCCCTGGGCCTTCAGCTCTCATCTCAGAAGATTCTAAATGGCTACACGGCTTGAAAATGAAGCATTGGAGTAAATAAACCTCTGCCTCAGAGAGTGTTCTCACGGTTAATTAAGAAGCTCGGAGCCCCTGGTTCCCACCAAGATTTATTAGCCCAGACTGAAATCCTGGAGCGGTGGTATGTCTGTGAGATACATCCAGAGGCAGCCAAGACAAGAATTTGGAGACTTTCGTTTTCCCCGGAGCTGCTGAGAGGCTTGTGACTTCTGCTTCCACAAGGGCACCAGGCACTGGCTGGGTCCCGAGGCTACCACTGAAAAAGGCAGGCAAATTCTTGCTGCCTTCCGGTAGGAAGGAGCTCACATTCTGATCATGGACAGCAAGAACAGATGAACAAGTAACAACCTGCTCTCAAAGACTAGAGCAGGGAGGGACATAAAGCAGGAAGACTGGAAGTGGGAGGTGAGGGGAGCCCTTGAGGGGGCTGGTCAGGGAAGGCTGCTCTGAGGAGATGACCTTTGAGCTGAGACTCAAATGACAAAAAGGACCCAAGTCTTGCTAAAGAAAGAACATTTTAGAAATCAGGACCCAGAGCGCCAGAGTGGCTCAGTTGGTTAAGCGTCTGCCTTCAGCTCAGGTCATGATCTTGGGGTCCTGGGATCAAGCCCCATGTCAGGCTCCCTGCTCAGTGGCAAATAAATAAATAAATAAAAAATAAATAAATAAGTCTTTAAAAAAGAAAGAAATCAGAACCAGCATGTGCAAAGGCCCTGGGGATGGGAGAGAGGTTAGTGGGGTTTTTTTGTTTTTGTTTTCGTTTTTGAGGTTAGTGTTTTCAAGAAAGAAATCGAAGGTGGCCTGATCACAGTGATCAAAGAAGAGAGGGAGTACAAGCTAAAGGTGGAGAGATTGGGACATTCTGCTCCAAAAAATGCACCTAAGCCATCTTGAAAGCAAAATCAGGGAGGCACCTGAGCTGGTGCCCTGGCGCTCTGAGACATGTGTCACTGCTGGGCAGTGGTTTGGAATGCTTACAATTGCAAAGTCACTTCTCACTTAGTCAGATACTAGTCATAGACTGGGAGCTGGCAGGAAATGTAAGTAGAGTTATTCTAGCCCAACCCCCTCATTTTACGAATAAGGAACAGAGACCCAAAGAAGGTTAAAGGTCTTACTGGCAAAATGGAGAGAATATTTGCAGTTCGTTATCACAGATCAATTCCCACACTATGTAAAGAGCTGCTGGCTGGCCAGGCTACAGCAGAGCGAACAAGGGAGAGAGGTTCAAGAAGACGTTGACAGTAGTCCCAACGTATGGTCACACACAGCAGCTGGCCTGGGGAATACAAGTGTGCTCATACCTTCTTGTGAGAGGAAAAATGTATTTGACACTCATGCAGGCTAGTAGTTTGGATAACATTAAAGCACATGTCTGGTCAAAAACTAGAAAACCTGAAATGTCACTCATCAGGTGCATGGATAAATAAACCGTAGTTTATGGTGATGATGGAATACTACTTATCAGTAAAAGGAAACACACTACCAATCCCTGCGGAAACGTGGATTAAACTCACAAGCGTGCTGGGCAAAGAAACCAGGTACAAAAGAGAATACACTGTAGGATTCTGTTAATATGAGGGTCTAGATCAGGCAATGGATAGTTTTCTGGGACCAAAAGCCAAGGTTGACCATAAAGGGACATGAAAGGAACATTTAGGGGTCATGAAAAGTTTTTATATCTTTTATATCTTGAATATACATGTGCTGGTCACATGTATATTCATTTGTTACAACTCTTAAAATGAGTGGGCCCTTTTTAACGTATATAAATTATATCTCAAGTTGATTTTAAAGAATAAATTTTTAGGGGCACTTGGGTGGCTCAGTCGGTTAAGTGTGTGCTTTCAGCTCAGGTCATGGTCCCAGGGTCCTGGGATCAAGCCTTGCATTTAAAAACAAAATAGGGGGCAGCCCGGGTGGCTCAGCGGTTTAGCGCCACCTTTGGCCTAGGGCGTGATCCTGGAGTCCCGGGATCGAGTTCCACGTCGGGCTCCCTGCGTGGAGCCTGCTTCTCCCTCTGCCTGTGCCTCTGCCTCTTTCTCTCTCTGTGTCTCTCACGAATGAATAAATAAATCTTAAAAAATAAATAAATAAAAATAAATAAAATAAGTAACTTTTTAGGGGCATCTGGGTGACTCAGTTGGTTAAGCATCTGGCTCTTCTTGGTTTCTGCCCAGATCATGATCTTGAGGTGCTGGGATCAGCCCCAGTCCCTCTCCCTGCTCTGGGAAGAGTCTGCTTCTCCCTCTCCTTCTACCCCTCCCCACTGCTCTCTCAAATAAATAAATAAAATCTTAAAAAAATTTTTTTCTTAAAAAAAAACAAAAAAAATATATTTTTTTTTCTTCCCAGCCTCCACTATGGTTTACGTGTATATACTGGGCATGTAAAGCTCTCAGAGCAGGAGACAGCAGCTCTTTGCCAACAAATTTGTCCCTGTATAGATAGACGGTTTCTGTACATGGACTTTCATCTAGTCATATGAGAAGAGGTGTGACAGTTTCTCTGATTGCTATTTAATGCTACACAGATGGGGTATCTGTGCTCACTGCTCAAAACATTGAGGATGTGGTCCGGTGTTTTTAAGTTTTAGAAAAAATAATGCAAATGAGACACTTGTCAACACCCCATCAGCAATAGCCTGCTTCTTTCCCATTGGTCAGGATAGCACTGTCATGTTACATCACCTCCCTTCTCAGACCAGGAGGGAGGGAACAAAGTTGTCAAAGAGGGTGTATCCTTCCTGGACCAAGAGGTCCAAAGAGGGGACGGCAGTAAGTTTGGAGACCTAAATTGTCCTGCTCTCTCCATGTTTCTTCCTTCCTCCAGAAGCTTCTGAGATTGCCCTGCCACAAGGAAGTGGCATTACAGTTTTCATAAAGCCTGGGACCCCAGCTCTGCCAGTGAAGCCCTGTTACATCATCAATTCTAAAAGACATAAAACCACGTTGACCATCAAATCTGGAGAAAAAGAGATCTTTTCCTTCAGCTGCCAGGACCCAGAGAATCACTTTGTCATTGATATCCAGAAGAATATTGGTAAGTGCACACTCACCAACTGTTTGGCCTCCCTGCCTCTCTTTCTGGGGCTAAACCAGCCTCAAATGCTGAAACCCCATGCTCTATTTAGCTGGTATGTGGCTGTTTGTGGTTCTCAGTGCTTTCCACGGTTTAAGTTGTTGAATCTACAAAACAGCCCTCTGAGAAACTCACAAAAACTCACCTAAGTTAGCATGGCTAATGAGTCACAGCAGGACAAGAACCCAGGTACGATGGCCCCAGGCTTTACCTGCCACCCCTGTGCCACACTGTTCCTTGACAGAGCTAAGGATCTTCCTTCAGGTCTGGGATGCTCCAGCTGAGGTGCTGTAAGTTTTTAAACTAAAGTTTAAAGTTGTTAAACTAAAACTTTAAAGCTAATTTAGTTCAGGGGCACCTGGGTGGCTCAAACCATTAAGTGTCTGCCTTTAGCTCAGGTCATGATCCCAGAGTCCTGGGATTGAATTCTGCATCAGGCTCCCTGCTCAGTGGGGAGCCTGCTTCTCCCTCTCCCTCTGCTCCTGCCCCTGCTCATGCTCCCTCTCTTACTCACTCCCTCTCAAACAAATAAATAAAATATTTTTTAAAAAAAGTTTTGGGGCAGCCCTGGTGGTGAAGCGGTTTAGCACTGCCTGCAGCCCAGGGTGTGATCCTGGGGACCCAAGATCAAGTCCCACATCAGGCTCCTTGCATGGAGCCTGCTTCTCCCTCTGCCTGTGTCTCAGCCTCTGTGTGTGTGTGTGTCTCTCTCATGAATAAATAAATAAAATCTTAAAAAAAAAAAGTTTTGGGGGATCCCTGGGTGGCTCAGTGGTTTAGTGCCTGCCTTTGGCCGGGCGTGATCCTGGAGTCCCGGATCAAGTCCCACATCAGGCTCCCTGGATGGAGCCTGCTTCTCCCTCTGCCTGTGTCTCTGCCTCTCTCTCTCTCTCTCTCTCTGTGTGTCTCTCATGAATAAATAAATAAAATCTTAAAAAAAAAAGGATTGTTTAAAAAAAAGTTTTAAACCTAATTTAATTCAAATTTAAATTAACTAATTTAATTTTAAGCTAAAATGTTGCTGATGAAGAGCAAAAAAGCAAGGGAGGGGCAGCCCAGGTGGCTCAGCGGTTTAGCGCTGTCTTCAGCCCAGGACGTGATCCTGGAGTCCCAAGTTGGGCGCCTGCATGGGGCCTGCTTCTCCTCCCGCCTGTGTCTCTGCCTCTGTGTGTGTGTGTGTGTGTGTCTCATGAATAAATAAATAAAAAAAAAAGCAAGGGAGTTGAAAGACAAAGAAATTGGGGGTGCCCAGGTGGCTCAATTGGTGGAGCCTATGACTCTTGATCTCAGGGTTGTAGGGTAAAGTTTCACACTGGGTGTAGAGATTACTTAAAAATCTTTAAAAAAAGAAAGAAATTTGAAGGTTGAGGACATAAGTGTGGTAAGGTGGGTCCGAGAGACACAATGGGGAAAACAGTAGCTTTAAGGCTGAGAGAGCTCGATCTGGCTTCAAGCTTTAGGCTCCTGATCATGTGAGCTCATCACGTGGCTTTGAATGAGTCACTTAACTGCTTTGTGACTTGGTTTTTTTTCAACTGTAAAATAAGTCATTGTACCAACCAACAGGGCTTTCTTGAGGGTGAAATAAACTAATGGACTCCAAATGTTTGACACACAAGGTAACAAACTATGGCTATTTGGGATTATTGTTATTCCTTATAATTTGAATTTAGGATAGGAGATTGACATAAGGTATAATCACCAGGCAGAAAGAATTAAATCTATCATTTCCCAATTGCTTTAGGTGGGCATGTTGGCTAGGAACCTAGAGGTCATAACAACAAGGAGAACACTATTTGAGATCCAATCAAAGCCATACCCAGAAAAATTTATTTTGCCTTTCATTGAAAATAAATGAATCAGGCAATAGATAAGAAAAGGGAGTAAAATAAACCTTAGAAAAAAGAAGTTCAGAAAAACAAAAGGAGTAATTAAAGTATTACCAGCAGCTTTAGAACTACTCAAGCTAAGGCGTGGTTTTTATAAAGACTAACTAAATAGACAAATCTTGACTAGTCCTCTGGAAAAAAAGAGAAAAATACAAATATACAGCATTGAAAGGATAAATGTTGATTGAATGACATTTACAAAGCCAATTTCTAAAAGAGACTATGTACAACATTATTATAATAAGTAAGAAAATCTGAATAAAAGGAATAATTTGCAGGGAAAGTATTGTGAGCCAGATTGACTCATAGAAAATTAGGGAACCTGAAAAAATAAATAATGGAAGAGGAGATTGGAAACCACGTCCAAGAGGGGGGAAAGCAGGGTTTGGGTTAGTTAGACATGGTTTCATAGAGGATCCTATAAAACTTCAGGAAGATAAGTTCTTGTGATATTGAAACCATTCCAGGGGAGGTAAAGGCTGAATAGTAAATATCTCAGATCATCTTTGTCCCAACCACTGGGCTCCACCGTTGCAGCGTGAGTCGGCCGCTGGTAGTAGGGAAACACCTGGGCAGTGACATCCCACATCTTTATGCTCGGTGGTAGGGATTGTGCTGAACTGGGCTCATGAGCTGTGACTTCCTGACCCCTGTTCGAGAACACAGAAAGAGGTGGATTTTCTTAGTTCATGTAATAAGGCTCTTAAAACCCCAATATCAAAATGTGCCAGAGCATAAAAAAGAAAATCACTGCCTAAAGAGGGTGAAGGGCTAGCGGCTCAGTGGTTGGACATCTGCCTTCAGCTCAGGGCGTGATCCTGGTGTCCAGGGATCGAGTCCCGCATCGGGCTCCCTGCATAGAGCCTGCTTCTCCCTCTGCCTATGTCTCTGTATCTATGTATCTCTCATGAATAAATAGATAAAATCTTTTTTAAAAATTAAAAAAAATAAAAAATAAAAAGGGTGAAGAGATCTCACGAGACCCCCAGCAGGAGCTAATCCATGTGGCCCTGGGCACTTGGAGGTATGGATGGATGGAAAGCTCTGAAAAAGGTGGCTTTTTTTTTTTTTAAGATTTTATTTGTTCATCTGAGAGAAAGAGAGAGATAGAGCGTGAGAGCACAAGCTGGTGGGAGGGACCAGGGAGAGAAGCAGACTCCTTGGTGGACAGGGAGCCTGACGAAGGACTGGAATCCAAGCCCGGGATCATGACCTGAGCCCAAAGCAGATGCTTAACCTACTGAGCCACCCAGGCGCCCCAAAGGTGTCTTGATATCATGAAGTCTCCATGAGCTCCTAAAAATAGGTCCTATCTTTACCCATACACAAAATCTAATTTTAGCCACCTTTGTCACCTTATCATCTCACCCCGTTTCATGGGTTAGGCAACACAATGTGTTGCAAGAACTCAGGCAGACCAAACACAGCCTGACCTTTCGTCCTGGGATTGTGTGCGCTGCAAACATGCTGGTCACCCAGATTCCAAGGAGTACTTTGCAAAATTGAGAGTTTGAGTGTGAGCGACCCCAGAGGTCCTAGCCAGCTCTGAAATTCTCCCATAATCCCACTTCAAGTTGGCGGTCCTTTCGGACACCCCACTGGAGCAGCACTAGGGGCAGGAAGATCCCTGCAACGGGGCCTGAAGCCACTGCACCTTTCAGATTCCCCACACTGGACACAACCAAGTCTCCCTGTTCCATCTGCCTTCATCACTTCTTCCACAGGCCCATTTCTTCCTTGCGAGCAACATTTCTTGCTTTGTTTTAAAAGGCTTAGGAAACAAAATACATCAAAGGATGTCATTTGGCAATTAGCTTTTAAAAAAGGAAAAATTCAACTGCAGTGGTGGTAAAACAGCAGCATTACAGCCACGAGGCAGGACAATCACTGGGCCTCCGGGCTCCAGCCATTAAGGGGGGGTTGTAAGTTCAGAGTGTTCTCAGTGTGTTGAGGAGTATGTGGATGGGAAAACCAGTTTTGAAAGGTGGAACTCGGCACTGTGCCTTTGAAACAGTGAAACCGTGACTGTCTCAGACCCAGGGGACCTGGGCTAGCCCATCACACTGGTTCTGTCACAAAGGGTCTCCGTCCGGCTTCCAGGAAGGCCTCGCCAGGTTGTGTCACTCGAAGGGAGGAGGTCAGGCTCGGCTGGTTCACCCCTGCCTTGCGGGCGGTGACTGGCTGTGGGCTGCCACCCACCATGGGAGGGGAAGCAGGTGCAGGGCGACCCCTCAGGCTCTCTAGCCCAAAGAGGCTCCCCCAGCCCGAGCACACATATGCCCCCCAAGAAGAGTGAGCTAGCTCCTGGCCACTGACACGGGCACAGCCAAGGGCACAGCCAAGAGATCGTGCATCTGCCTGCGGGGGGGGGGGGGGCAGCAATCGCCCCAGGGGTCGGGGGGGAGGCAGTGAGTGGCCCCGTAGTGTTTGTGACCAAGCGAGCTTTTGCGACTGTGTTTCAGACTGCATGGCAGGCCCCTGTCCGTTTGGCGAGGTTCAGCTTCAGCCCTCAACATCGACGCTGCCCACCCTCAACAGAACTTTCATCTGGGACGTGAGAGCTCACAAGAGCATTGGTCTAGAGCTACAGTTCGCCCCGCCGCGCCTGAGGCAGATCGGGCCCGGGGAGAGCTGCCCCGACGGGGTCACTCACTCCATCAGCGGCCGCATCGATGCCACCGCCGTCAAGATCGGGACTTTCTGCAGCAACGGCACTGTGTCCCGCATCAAAATGCAAGAAGGGGTGAAGATGGCCTTACACTTGCCCTGGTTTCACAATAGGAACATCTCTGGCTTCAGCATCGCAAACCGATCTTCTATAAAACGTGAGCACGCCCCTCCATCCCCACTGTTTGCTGAGGCTGAGACACACACACACACACACACACACACACACGGTTCTAGGTCAGAAACGGGCAGATGTCAGCGCTCTCCTATGACTACCTTGAAGGAAGATCCCACTCTTCCAGAAGTGGTGCGGATCTCCTGGTGTGAACCCACCCTTCTCTGTGAAACAAACTGTGCACCCACTCTCTTTTCTTGGTCCTTTGTGCTGTGAGGCTTGTTTTCAAAACATGAAGTGGGACTGGCCCTCCACACCTCCCTGGATTACCTCGTGTCTCATGTCTTAGTCCCAAGTTGTAGCCCTTTCACCTTTTATGTAATTGTATCCGTGGTGTGCTGGATCCGGTTCGCACCGGTTCACGACAGCTGACGGTTGAATGTTCAGGAATTCTGTGAGCTGATGCTAAACAGGGCCGGTAACAAAACTGAAATTAGGCAGACTTACAGTTAAAATACATTCGTTTAGGGGGGATCCCTGGGTGGCTCAGCGGTTTGGCTGAGGATCGAGTCCCACATCAGGTTCCCTGCACAGAGCCTGCTTCTCCCTCTGCCTGTGTCTCTGCCTCTCTCTCTCTCTCTCTCTCTCTGTCTCTCATGAATAAATAAATAAAATCTTAATTAGTTAATTAAAAAATTTGCTTACAAGCAAAGGTAATAAAGACTCAAAACTCATCACTTCCTAATGAGTTCACTACATTTTACTGTTACCTGTGCTCTTGAGGTTATTTATGTCAAACACACCTCTACGGTGGAAATGCCATACAATGGGGAGCTACTGCCCATCTGCTCCAGACTCCGCATTCATGTCATGTTGGCAGCTTGAAATCAGCCATGGTGGGAATATTTACAGCAAGGAAATGGACAGACACTACAAATTAAGCGGCCCCCCCCCATCTCTGCGTTGGTCATTAAGCATTTAGTCACCCGCCTCTGATGTATCCTCGTTGGAGATAAGACAACGCCCAGAGCTCAGGACCTGAGAATTGCTCTCAACGCTTCCTAACCCTGCTGCCTCTGAGCCATGAGCAACCAGGGCACGTTCTAACCACCTCTTATTCTTTCTCATTTGGGTCCTCCTCCCAATAGGACTGTGCATCATCGAATCTGTGTTTGAGGGTGAAGGCTCAGCAACCCTGATGTCTGCCAACTACCCAGATGGCTTCCCGGAGGACGAGCTCATGACGTGGCAGTTTGTCATTCCCGCGCACCTGCGGGCCAGCGTCTCCTTCCTTCGCTTCAATGTCTCCAACTGCGAGAAGAAGGAGGAGCGGGTGGAGTACTACATCCCGGGCTCCACCACCAACCCGGAGGTGTTCAGGCTGCAGGACAAACAGCCCGGGAACATGGCTGGGAACTTCAACCTCTCTCTGCAGGGCTGTGACCAAGATGCCCAAAATCCGGGGATCCTCCGGCTGCAATTTCAAGTTTTGGTCCAACATCCACAGAATGAAAGCAGTAAGTGAGCCCCACCTTCTTTTCCCCTCCTCCTCCAGCTCTTTTCTTTCCTGGATAATCTGCTTGGCGTGAGGTTCCCTTCCTATTGTTCATCTATGGCTTCTGGAACACATGGACTCTGGACCCTCTAAGAGTTTCAGGAAGTGCATTGCCAGGCAATAAGACAGGCTCTTGCGTGAACACCTGGCATGCTGCTCCATTTCAACACAGTGAGAAGCAAACGAGAACTTGCATTCAGGCTGTTGTTTTTAATAAAAGTGTTGGAAGGTCACTTTTTTTTTTCCTTAGAGCACGAGCAGTGCGGGGGAGGGGCAGAGGGAGAGGAAGAGAGAGCATCTTCAGCAGGCCCCATGCACAGCGGAGAGCCTGACGTGGGGCTCGATCTCAGGACCCTGAGATCATGACCTGAGCCAAAATCAAGAGTCAGAGGTTAGCTCAATGTACTGAGCCACCCAGGTTCCCAGAAGATTTCTTCCTAAATTACATATCTTAACTTTCAGTGTAAATCAGGATGGTCTCAGCACCATCAGTAGTGATAATGATCATGAACCCTGTTTAATTGGCTGAGTGCCCCATACCACGCACCCATACTCCGTGCCGAGCCCTGACCTAAGCATACCACTTAGCCTCAGCTAATCCATATGACAACCCTATAGGGGAGGCAGGAGTTATCCTCAATTACTGCTGAAAAAAAAAAAAAGGAGGTTCAGAGAACTTATTGAACTAGCCCAACATCACATAGTTTGTCAGGAGCAGAGCAAGCTCAGAACCTAATGCCTGTGCTCTGGATCATTCTGAATCCTACGTGGGCTGTTGAGAATGAGGTTGCCCATCACTCTACACACATTTTACAGAGATGCCATGAACCCAGAAAAGGTTGAGTCAGGGCCAGGGTTAGAGCAAAGTGCCCAGCATGCAACATTAAAGGAGGCATCCGCTCTGAGGTGCTTGCTCTTCAGGAGGTACTCACCCTCAAGATCATGTAAGTGCAAAAAAAAAAAGAAAAAAAAAAAAAGAACATGTAAATGCAAGGCCAGCTCCTGAGAGTAAGTGCCTCCTTAAACTTTGCTCCATGAAGAGTGGCGCAGGTCTTGAAATAAAAGGTACAAGATGGGGACACCTGAGTGGCCCAGTCGGTTAAGCATCTGCCTTCAGCTCAGGTTATGATCCTGGGGTCCTAGGCATCGAGCCCCAAGTCGCCCCAAGTCAGGCTCTCTGCTCAGTGGGGAACCTACTTCTCCCTCTCCCTCTGCCCCTCCCCCTGCTCGTGCTCTCCCTCTCTCAAATAAATAAATAAAATCTTTAAAAAAAAAAAAAGGTACAAGATGAGTTCAGAGTGACTGTTCCTGGGGTCCATCTGTAACCTGGAGTCTGCAAAGGAGCAAGTGTGTGACAAGTGGTCTTGAACCTGTGACATGTGCTCAAGACAGGTTCTATCCCGAGGACTGATTCTCAGCCTTGTTCTGATTAGTATTCACCTCCAGGAAGCAGGTGCAGAACCAGGCAGAAAAATTAAATAGAAGAGTAATACTCATTTTAGTAGAGCTGATAAACATCTGGAAAGTGACAGTGTGGGACCCGCCTGTGGGGTTGCCTGGCTGGCCTTGCCTCAGCAATTCCCTCTGGGTTTTTCCAGAAGCTGTAGCCCTGGCGGAACCTGACCAAGATGCCTTTTGATTTACGGTAACCATGTAGAAGTAACTGTGTGTGTGTGTGCGGATGCGTGTGTGTGCCTGCTGACACATTTTTATGATTCCACTGTCACAATTTCATCATCGGAATGTTGAAAACAGCCACATAAGAATCTGGAGATGGTGTGGGTTTGAGGTTAGGAGACAGAGGGATCCGTTGATCATCTCAGCTATGGTGAGTGCTGCCGATTTATTGCATTTCCTGGAAGAAGAGCTGAGCTGATTTCCACAACTAATCAAATTCTTAAACAGGCTTTAACCAGCATCTATCCAGAAGGGCATGGCTTTAGTTTCCAGATAAGTAAAGAGAGTTAACTGCAATGTAAAGCCATTTGGTGGTGTCACAGCTTCACATAAAGTGTAGGGTCTGCCCACATGGATTTGAATCCTGGTTCCTCTACTTACCAAGTGATTGTGGGCAAGACCCTTAACATTTGTGTGACTCGGTCCCTCGTCTTAAAATAGAGGATAGGCCCACCCTCGTTAGGGGTGTTTTAAGGATGAAATGAGGTACACAGTGCCTGGCAGGTAGTAAGTACTCTTTGAATGTTATCCTGCAGGGTTCTAGATCAGGGAAGGGATACAGGGGTGAAAAAGACACAGTGCTTGCCCTTAGAGATAGACTACAACCCAGTCACTTCTCAGGAGTTTCACTGGTGTGCCATGGGTTCAAGGCAGGGTGCACACAGCAGGCTGGTAGGAGTTTCAGGGAGAGACTCCTGGCAGAGCCTGGCACTTTCCAACCTACCTGGGAGGCCCCGGAGGGTTGGTGCCCCTCATTGCCACTGGAAGGGGCTCTGTGTATTGTTTCTCCTCTTTCTGCCTTGGACATGAGAAAGAAGCAGCTGCAAGGAGTGCTTCCAGAGACTAAGTCCCTTGGGTAGGAGCCTCCGCCCTTCCTTCCCCCAGGAGTGCTGAAGGCAAACCTGGGGCTGGTCTCCTGCTGTCCCTCCCTGAACCCAGGCCAGGGCCTCATGCCCCTCACTTGTCCCCCTTTGCCCCCAGTGGGGGAAACGACTACCCAAACCAAAGCCACTACACCAAGAGTGCTCCTGTGGGGAGTTTGCATTCATCACATACCCTGTTGTATTTATCTGACTGCACATCTGTGTCCCACTAAACTCCTCCCAATCAGGAACCTGTTTTATTCTTCTATCTGCCTACATGCACCACAGTTTCTGGCACATTTCGGGCCCTTTGTAAATTCTTATCAAATCTCAAGAGGCAGCCTCTTGCCCAAAGTGGCTCAAGAACCAGATACCATCCAATGGCACAGCCCATCAGAAGGGGCAGTTATGCTTCACTGGGGGCACCCGGGAGAGTGGCTGTTCCAGGAAGTCAGATGAGGGGAAGAGCTTGAGAAAGAAGAGCAGGAGACCTTCTCAAGCCTGGAGATTGATTATCATAGCAACTGTGCAAAGCCAAAGCCTCAGCAAGGGCAGAGGCAGCCATCAGAGCCCCAGCAGCACCTATAGCCCTCATCATCCACAGCAGAACCTGACCATGCTGGCCCCACACTGCAAAACAAAACAAAACAAAACAAAAAACAATTTCTGAAGGTGGGAAACAAGCAGGTGTTGCTTTGAACCTCATTGTCTACCCCCCAAAACCTTACTATAAACGCTCTCTCTACCTTGCTTAAGAATATCAGATAGGCTCAAACTAGAGCCAGAGGAGCTCTAAGGCGTGTCTTTCCATGGCTTGACCATAAATATTCTATGTTGGGATGGCTGATGGACAGGCTGCCCTGGGCCTGAGGAGTAACCCATCTGGCTTGCTGTGAGCATGTTTGTGAGCACTGACGGCTTCTGCTGCCCGAAGCACACAGCTCCACCAGAGCTCAAGCCATATTCATCTCTACCAAACAAATCTTGTTTTTCAGTGTTCCATTCTGCACTCTCTTTTTTATTTTTTTTTTTTATTTATTTTTTTTTTTAAAGATTTTATTTATTTATTCATGACAGTCACACAGAGAGAGACAGAGAGGCAGAGACACAGGCAGAGGGAGAAGCAGGCTCCATGCACCGGGAGCCCGACGTGGGATTCGACCCCGGGTCTCCAGGATCACGCCCCGGGCCAACGGCAGGCGCCAAACCGCTGCGCCACCCAGGGATCCCTCTTTTTTATTTTTTATTTGTTGATAGTACAATACAGGTCTTGAATAACACAGGTCTAAACTGCACAGGTCTACTTATACAAACTTTTTTTATTTCAATAAATACAATATAACATCGTAAAAGTATTTTCCCTTTTGATTTTCTTTTTTTAATATTTTGTTTATTTATTTATCTACCTGACAGAGAGAGAGCACAAGCAGGGGGAAGAGCAGAGGGAGAGGGAGAAGCAGGCCCCTGGGATCATGACCTGAACCGAAGGCAGATGCTTAACTGACTGAACCACCCAGGATCCCCCCTCCTTATGATTTTCTTAATAACATTTTCTTTTCTCTAAATGACTTCATTGCAAGAATATAGTACATGGTACCTATGACATACAAAATATATGTTAATAGACTGTTTATGGTATTGGTAAGGCTTCTGGTCAACAATGGTTAGTAGTTGGGATCCCTGGGTGGCTCAACGGCTTTCGGCCCGGGGCATGATCCTGGAGACCCGGGATTGAGTCCCACATCAGGCTCCTTGCATGGAGCCTGCTTCTCCCTCTGCCTGTATCTCTCCCTTTCTCTCTCTCTCTCTCTGTGTCTCTCATGAATAAATAAATAAAATATTAAAAAAAATAGTAGTTAAATTTTGGGAGAGTCAAAAGTTACAGAGACATTTTCAACAGTGGGGCAGGAGGTCAGCACCCCTAACCCCACATCATTCAAGGGTCAATTGTACTACAGTGTCATACCTGGTGGTATTGCCACATCATTACCTGGAGTTTCATCTGATAGTCACATAGAGAGACAATGTCTCTGTTGTGTCCCGCAAACTGTTCCTCTTTTTATATCATTTCTGCAAGATTCAAATGGCCCTGCTGATGCCGAATCCTACAAGTTAATAGTAGTCTCCCTAAGTACATGGTTCCCTTTAGCCAGAGCAGACCGCTAGCCTACTGCTTTACACATCCTCCTACGGCTGTTAGGAGGTATGTTCACTTGCTCTGAAAGCACCAAACAGACTAGTATCTTCAAAACCCGTGGGCTTAAAAAAAAAAAAAAAAAAAACCCGTGGGCTTCTGGATTATCATGACTTATATAAGGTAGACGAACAGGAGTTTCCAGCTTGTTACACCATGTGTTTCAATGAGTCTCAACACCAGTCTGAGTAAATGCTGGTTGGGGAAGCAGTTGTGTTGCTTCTTCTT